TTCAGGCAGAATCGCAGATGGTGCTTGACAGGCTGACAAAGAAAGATTTCCAGGGATGCTTCTAGGCTTGGCAGCGGCGCTGGGATCGTTGTGTTCACTGCCAGGGGAACTACTTCGAGGGTGATGGATGAATTTAATACCTGAGATAAGTGTACGGGTTTTTATACGCGCAGTCTGGAAACCTTCCGATCGCACCTCGTAACATCGTACTCATCGCCGTAAGAACTTCTAAACCTATTTATAAAACCACGAAGTTCTTCGTTGCGTAATGCCCGGAAGGTTTCACTTGCTTTGTCTTCCACACACTTTTCAGAGTGTTTCGTTACCAAAAAATGTGTAAACCAACTGACTAAATAATGGTATTATTCCTTCATCATACGAAATGTTCTTCGGTACAGTGCAGTGTCCCGCAACAGGTGTGCCAACACAATGTTTTAGCTCTGACACGAGTTTTCATAACAGGTTGTACATTCGAACGTTATAATTTGAAAATTACAATATCTTATATTTCGTAATTAAAATTCGTAACACACACACACTGTTTCATCATCTAGTTTTATTCAACGTGTTATGTTTTGTTTTCATATGTCTGCATTCCTACTAGGCAAGGATTTATATGTAGTTAAAAAATATTACTCCCTTGTGCTATGGTATGGGTTCTTATGGCATCAGTTGAGAAATTGCCACTTTGCAGTTTCGTACAAGACCTAAGTCAAGTATTAAAGAAGGATTAGAAACAGCAAACCTAAAAGAATTAAACACTTTCATTTTAATATAAAATTAAAGTTTATTAGAACTAATTTATCTACTAACATCTGAGGTTTTACAAGTATATTTCAGGTTGATATGATACATTCTTTACAAGTAGTTATAATTATCTACATCAGAGGTATTAAACCTGGGGTACGCTTACCCCCGGGGGTACATAAAATTTAAAAAAGCACTGAATAATCAGGGCCAGATTTAATACATTATTTTGGATGTAATTTATTTAATTTATTTTAGATGTAGATTATATACTATTTATAACTTGAATTATACACCAACAACTTTGGGGGTACAAAGTTGAAGAGAAATTATATCTGGGGGTACGAGAACAAAGCAGGTTGAATACAACTGATATAAATGATACAATGTCAAACCAGGGCTCAGATCTAAACAACTGTGTTTATCTGTTAATCTTGTAAGATTAATTGACTGTAATTATATACGTAACTATATATAATGCACATTGGACATAAGCCGACATATAATTACACGAAGATGGGTGGCAGCCCTGCTGGACTACCGGCTGCTGATCGACAGTTGGAAAAGTTTATTATTGCTACGGATGAACTAATCACCAGAAGGATAATTTTAATAAACGGTAGCAAAAGGAATAATTTTGTAATACTTCGCAAATTGTAAATACTTGGGTTGCCGGAATCTTATTACAGAAATCAACAAATATTTAGAAATAAATGTAACAAAATATAATAAGATTAATAGGATATCGACTAAACAAACTGAGTATGTCAGTTAAACTGTACAGGAGGAAATGTTAGAATTAGAAGTAGGAATGTTGAATGCAACAGTAAACAAAGCACAAGCGAGACTTTTGCATCCAATGAAATTAAAATTGACTGTTTCTCGGCTGAATTTCACTTCATAATTGTACATAAAAATTAACTTGAAAATATATAAGTAATTTATCTTTGACGAATAGGAATCATCAATATACTGTTCTGCAGTCTCTGGAAATAGTTTTACATCAATACTGAAGTACATACATTGAATTCTGTTCGTATGTACTGATCTCACTAGACCTACATATAATAAATATTCTCGTAAATAATCTCAGTTACTTATGTGTATAAGAATGTAGTTACAAAGCTATAAATTATTATTTTTGCAAACTAATTTGAACACGAACGAATAAAGTGTTCGCAAAAGATTTCAGCACAAATCTGTGGTGTTACAGGGCAGAAAATTCACTGCGAGATCCTCCGAGTTAGAAAGTCCATATTAAAACAGAGGCACGTCACTAAAAATATCTTAATTTGACTGACACACTGAAATCATCAGTTAATTGTATTTCTGTATAGACGTCTAAATTTGTTTCTCCTGTAACAAAAATTCATCTATACTGATTTAACCATATTTTCCAAAACAACACAGATTTGTACCGAAAATAATCACTAGTAAAACATCTATAATATTTGCTACAAATACTGAAAAATAATTAGGCCCACAATTTTAATACGTAACCATGTAGCGTATTTTACAAATGTACCTAAGTGAATATAAATATTAAAATGCTGTAATGTTTTTGCATTTTATCTGAAATATACCGACTGTTTCCAATATAAAATCATATCCATAATTTAATTCCGCTAAAACTTCATTCTGTAACGAGGATAATAAAGGAATAAATGTATGAAAAAAATCTGCTTCATATTTGTTTCGTGATTTCGATGTTAAAATCAAAACACTCTGAATTACCATTTCAAGTTTCAGTGACTATAATGTGGAAACCTATCAAGGCCCTAGATTTTTTCAGTGACAATTACTGCCTGCCTTATAATAGATATTTTTACAGTATTACAAACAGTTTCTATAAAATATAAGAAATGTTGAAACATGATTACTGCCTGCCTTATAATAGATATTATTACAGTATTACAAACAGTTCCTATAAAATATAAGAAATGTTGAAACATACGTTTAAACTTGTAATACACAGGAATAATAACAATTTATTATCTATACTTTGTCGAAATATTTGTGGCCCTTCCGTATATAAATTTCTAGTTCTAAAATTATTTACGTCAGCATGTGTATTTGAAATATATTTATCACAAATTTCACTATGAGAAATTACAAATTCCGTGATGTGAAACTGAAAATATATATATATATATATATATCCTGTATTATGTTGTTAATAAACTTACAGTTTTGTGGCGAATAAAATTCGCACTGTTCCTGAGATTATAACAGATTAGTCACTAATAAATGTTTTCATGCAGTTTTAGGCCAACATTAGGAATACAAACATTAACTGTCGCTTTGTATTGTCACATGTGATTACGAAACTGTAGGAAACAAATTAAAGCACGACTCTGATGAATTAACATCTTCATGGATATATTATAATATGTCTTAAACTTCAATTCTTCAGTTGTTGGCACGTTTTCAAAATTGTGGTATTGTGTTAAGCGAAGCAAATAGTTTGCAGAATGAATAAAAAACAAATGCACAGTAAAACACTTTATAAATACAAATTTATGTGTAAAGTGCAAATAATTTAATCAAAATTCTTTCTGGCCCACCATACCTGTTCTCAATAGTTTAGGGTTACTCGATGATTTGCTATTCCTCAGGGGGAAAAAATGCAAGTCTGTAAAATATTTCACTTTTTAACTGTTCATCGGTTAAGACCAGGAAAGTGATGGTGGTTGCCAAATTTTGACGACCCACAACAGGCAACAGACGGTAGATAAAAACAACGATATCCCTTGGGTACTCTTTGTGTAGGTAGTCCAGATAGGCCCCTGACATACGTGTAAGTCACGGGGGGTCTTAGTATACTCTTCTTCTTCTTCTTCTTTTCACCACTGGCGTTAGTACCACTTGCCAGTCTGACGGTGTCTGTGTTTGAAAGCCTCGGAGAAGCACAACTAGCACTGTGACTTCTAGAACTTATTGTCAATGACTGAAAAACTTCTTTAAACGAAGATCTCTGGCGAAGACTTGAAGATGGGGATGATGTAACATTATGACGTGGTACATGGCCGCTACTTGTATCACTTCCGCTGCTACTTTCTCCACTATTTCCGGTTGAGTTTTGATGGCTTAAATCTGAACTTGCACTCCGGTGTACGAATCTGCCTTTCTTGCCACTGGGATATTTTTTACTCCTACTGTTTCTGCTGCCCGCCGATCCACAGGATCTCTCTTCCGAATCTGTCGACTGTGATGTGTTATCATCCTCCTCGTTGTCGCGAAAGTGCCGAGGGTGACGTAAATGTCGGCCGATAGCTCGAAATAGACCAATTCCTCTGAGGTCACGTGTTGGTGAAGAAGACATCGGGGAGACGCTCCTTGGACTGCCAAGTGAGGGTGGATTCAAAGACACGAATACAATTGACGTGTCTGCCTTACGGGATGTCTCTTGTTCCATTTCTCGTCACTTGCTACTCTCGAAATAATTAATGTAACCAATCGGCCTCAACGACTTTTGGACTCGCGTTCAAATTGTCTTTTCTGCTTTACAGTATTATTCGACACTTTTATTAAGTCGAAAATTATGATTATTAGGTGTCAAAATTTCTGCTGATGAATGTATTCAAATACACTTTAAAATACAGCAGCAAAGTACATTTTCATATATAAAAAATGTTCTATTTCATGATAATGTATCTCATTTAAAATTATGTTTTAGTACGAAATTGTACGAAACAGTTTTATATAGTTTGTATTTTGTCCACGAAATGTCGGATCCTCCGTAATAAATGACAATCTATTTGGAAGTCAGCGCAATTGCGATAGATCGATACGACGCAGCTGCAACAAGTCCACGCAGTGCAGCGTCCGGAAACGGACTGTGTGCTCTGCCGGCCGCTTGCCAGGTACATCACAGTCCCTTTCGGGCATGCGCAACAAACTTCCCTTACTCGTATTACCCCCAACCAGGTCAAACCAACGAACTCGATACAATATAGAAACAACACGTGATATTTATTGTTCAGAAGCTGGAAAACGATGGAAAAGGAAAGGTGAGGGGCAGCATGGAGGGATTTGTAAGAAATAAAACAAAATACGTAAGCAAAAACGTGAATCAAAATACAATGTGACAGAGGACGTTCTTCATACGCAAGAGGCAACTGTTTTGAAACACGTGCCACGGGGCAGACAACTGAAAAGCTGCATGGTACAGTAAAGTAAAGTAAAGTTTGTCCCACTATACGCCATACAGGCGCTTGGGGGGAGAGGAGGTATAGCTCCTCTCTTCCTTGACCTCGGCACTAGATGGGGGTGAGTGGTCAGCATCACGCCCCGGCCGGCTTTACCCCCGGGAAAGGACCCCCGGTACCCATCGGATAGGAGGCTGGGTGGGCCCCAGAGCCGGTCTGGACGCAGAGGCTAGAGGAAAAAAATCCTCTGCCCCCGTCGGGGATCGAACCCCGGTCGTCCAGCCCGTAGCTAGTCACTATACTGACTGAGCTATCCCGGCTCATGCATGGTACAGTACCAACCACAATTAAAATATGTTCTTTGCAAATTCTGTATTGTTAATAAAACATTCCGTGGTTTTCTTCAAAATTCACTAATCATGTGGTCTTACTGTTTTATTTAACTACACAGAGCATGTAAGTCCTCTGGAAGCGAACTCCACTCTTACGCACGAGGTCACACAGAATGGAAACCTTATAAAGTCCGAATATATAATTTATTTCATACAGCTGTCTTGTTGTCATTTTAGACTATACAAAGAATTACTACACCAAAGTTCCGTACTTTCCGAAAATCTATCACCGTACAACATCGCGTGGCGTTTTTGGAAGTACAAGTGATTTTACCCTACAAGTTTGTTCGTCCGCCATGTATGTATTACCGATTTTAGTAAACTGAAAAGTACGATATTAGGGTTGTACCAAATGGCATAAAGTCCATACCACATACCATCCAAATCCATACATTGGTTCTAGAGTTGATCGTGCGGTTACACAGGCGCGCATGATTAACCTTTTCTCATGCACATCGGGGAAAGAAAGCTGTTAAAGTTTAATAATGCACCACCTCAACGACTCCGCTACCCTCACGTGAGCTCAGCTCCAATAAATGTCTTCCCCGTACATTCCCTGAGAGTCAGAAATCCCTGCCCACCGACTAACCCTACATCAAAATATCCCGAGATAACCTTTAACCCCTTCCGCTCACCGAAGTGTGACAAGTTGTTGCACTGGGCAAGCTACTGGGTTTGAACCCGTGGCTACATCAGTAGAAGGACGAGTCGTGTGCGGGAGGGAGGTTACAATAAAGACCCTCAAGATGAGAACACGATTCCAGTGTCTGACGTCATATGATCACGTGACTTGTCGTGACAGCATAAGAACTCGGAAGACTGTTAATAATTAAAGTGATGGAGTGAGGGACTGCATTTTGCAGACTTCGCGATTCAGCGCAATGCACGTGACGATCGGCACGCCTACATCCTATATAATGGAGTTTCAAGTCTTTCAATCGATGAAACTCCATTGTTACCTTATTTACATGCTGTTAAACATTTCAATAAGAAAAAAAGAATACACGCATTTCTCCGCTTGGATTAAAAAGGCCACGCGTCCGTTTTGCAGGCCAAACAAACTTCGAAACAAAGTATGCACGTGACCCGTTCAGCTTGGCTCTTCAGATGTTTAATACATTCATATACATTCTTTGGAAGAGTACAAGAAAGTAAAGGATAATTAGAATTGTCGTTGCCATCAGTCCGTTCCAAGTGTCACGTATGAAAACTACTGAATAAATTTCGACGAAATTTTGTAATGGGGAAAATTTAATTTTTGTCCGTATCGCTTTAACATATGATCCCTAGTTCACAATAAACTAAGATCGAATGTTATCGATTTCCTAGACAAATCATTAGGGACTCAATGAAAATAACAATGGTATAACACAAAATATGAACTTATTGAAATAAATTTTCTGACTCCATGGGTTATGATAGGGTGTGATTTCGATTGTTCAAAGAAGTTAAACACCACTTCATAAAACTAAACGTTTACTCTACGCAGAGTTCAATGTCGCTTAGCCGGTGAAAAGCGTCACTGTAACGAATGGGAACGTACACCAATAAATACTAGCAAACTCTACAACACGCTTCTGGGACGAGCTGACAGTACGATTAGTTATTTAAAGAAATTCCCCGTCTTTTATGGAACCTAAAGGTTCATTATCCCCCTCACAAGAACCCCCTTCCAGTAAATATCTGAACCACATGTCTAGTCCACACCCTCTAACTATATTTCCCTAAGATCCGTTTTAATATTATCCTCAAATCTACGTATCTTCCCTTCAGGGATTCCAACCAAATATTTATATGTATTTATCACCTACTCATGAGCGGTACATGTCCCACCCATTCGATCCTGTCATATGATCATCCTAATAACAACTTCAGTGATAAGATTACGAATTATGTGATAACGTATTATTCTATTTCCGATTTTCCGTAATGAAAATCACAAATGTTTTGCCACAATTAAAATCAGGTAGAGATAAACTTTCACACACATAGAAAACAACAGGTAGAATTACACTTAAATCCTTTAATCCTTGTGGTAGCACGAGGCACTGTACGCTATTAAGTTTGCCCCGAATTTGCTAGAATTTAACTTGTTCTTAATTTCTTCTTAAAAGCAACTCCGATTCCAGAATATTCAAAACGTTGTCACATATTCAAAGGATTTGCTTTAATCGCTTTTAAATCATGACGACAGATAAACACGTGTTCTTTGCGTTTATTTTTACCAACTTCTATGCTAGAATATAACAAACATCTGTAATTTATCGTGATATTTATCTTCAACCAATGAACCAACATCATCAGCACAGACCAGAAGCTGATGTGCCCCATTCAATTCCAGTCTCTTTTTGATTTCTTTGACTTCCTACTATCATAAAGCAAAGCTGGAACACAACAACGATGCAGCATCTCACTGTTTCAGACGATTCTAGAAAGTAAATGCATCAGATAAATCTTTATCTGTACGAATCTTATTACAGATTTCACTTAAATACATTTAATTAGCTTAACTAATTTAACTGTTAACTTTATTTAATGAGAATTTAATACTTACTTCCTAAATAAATTATAGGCTTTCTTGGAGTCTATAAATATCTGCTACACACTCCTATTATATTCTCATTTTACCTCCATCATCTGAAGAAAGCAGAATTACTGATCAATAGTCTATCGATAACGTCAACATTGATGATCCGTAGTAATTTCATCTAAGAAAGAAGTTAACCTTGACAGAAAACGTTGATTAACATTTTTATGTCGTATTTACAATAACAGATTCCTTCTGCTGCTTTTGAATTCTTCCTTACTTGGAATAGAATTAATAATTTTGTAATGAATTACCTCCAGTATGGATAAGTTCTGCCAAAATATGATCAATGCCTGGCGACTTACATCTTTCCAACTTTTTAATTGTAATCCCAATCTCAAAAGAACCAGGCTTTGGTCTAGGTCATAATTCTCATCTTTTACCACTTCCTTCTTGGTTGTTAACCCTTCTTAAATTCATTTATTTACGACAAGCAAGCGAAAGCCTTCTTTCTATCGGAGGACGCTTTGAAACGAAGTTCAGGCCCAGCTCCGTAAGTAGTGAGCTAAGCTAGGTAATCTAAACACCAAACTTATTTTAGACAGTGACATTTCAAAGACTCTAAGCCTATTATAAAGGTCCATGACAGAATTTCATGCCCTATTTCCAGAGATTTCCACCGATATGAATTTCAAAGAAGCTCCTCTGGCAGTAGACTGGTTGCATTATGGTATGCAACTGTGCGAGATCCGACATGTATCGATACTGGAATGACGTCATAAATTCATAACGTTACAGGCTTTAAATAAAGCAGCATGGTTAAAATATGAGTTCGATGATCTGATATCGATAATACAGAACGTACCAGTTAAACCTCAATCCCAACTAAATACAAATAGAATTTGTAAACGTTAGTGACGAATGTAACAAGACTAATGAGTTGATATTGTTATCAAAAAAATTTGCAGAATAGCTTTAAAGCTTATGCTGAAAATCTCAACAATATCCGACGCCGGACATATTGTGTGTCGTGCACAATTCCTATATCCCGAAATCCCACACAATATGAAGTTGGTCCAACGCGAATTCACCAAAGGCACCGCTTTCGAATGTCGTGCCCCCGTGTTGGGAGAGGGTTTACTGTATTTATAACAAACGCCCTCTGTTCTTCAGTGTTAAACGCCATCTTTATAACAAAACTATCAAACGAAACTCCATTCATTACTTTACGCAAACATTCCATCATCATCATCATCATTGGCTCTACAGCCCTGCGTGGGCTCTGGACTTCTTCAAAAGCTTCTTCCATTCTTCCTCATTCACAGACAATCTGTTTGCCAGTCCGCCGTGAATGAGTCCATCCGGCAGTTGCTTCATCTGATTTCGTAACAAGTTGCTTTTTACAGGATTGGGTTGTCAGCCCCACGCCCAACCCCCAACCTGGAGGACCAGACCTCCGTATTTACACCCCCCGGGAGGTAGGGTGGCCCAGCTATACCCCCAGGCACCGGGTAGCTCGGGTACCTTCCCGTACCCACTGATGTGGGTCCCTGAGGGGCAAACATTTCAACACCAGAACAAATAGTCCTACAGAATATAGAAAATAACATAAATTAAAATTGTAATTTCGTAAATATCGCGTATATACCAGGGATATGAGTCGTGAAAGGAACGCTAGCATTTCGCCGCTGAGATCTGGGTTCAATCGCACGTAACTTCAAGTGTGATTCGTGGTGGACAAAGCGGCATTAGTG